TATATATATAAAATTCATTAGTGGTATTTCGAGTCAAAACTAGTGGAACAAGAACAAAAAAATATTTATTCGTGTTGTTCGTGTTCGGCTCGTTAACTTAGCGAACAAGCCTAACAGGAGCTTCTTAACGAGCCGAACATGAGCTGTTCGTGAACAATGAGCCGTTTTGACATCCCTATTTCTGCCTTCTGCTGGAAGCCACAGTTTTTAAGAGTTTGAAGCCTTTGTTATAGCTGGAAATGGTGGATTTCAACATTAAATAATATATTTGTGTTATTTTTGATGTGATACAGAAGAAGTGGGTGTTTTGACAGTAAAAAATGAAAATTATTTGGTGTAAAGTATGTAAATGCATAAGAATTGGTTGCTATGCATGTAAATTTCTCTTTATTTTATTTCCTCCAGCACAAAGCAGCACCACCACAATATTTCTAGAGAAAAATATGAAACCACAAAATAAAACCACTACTAGTCTGGAGAATCATTGGACAAGTCAAACGCTTGATAGGGCTCTCAAAAAAAGCTCGTCATTCACAGACAATCCATGTTCGACTAATTAGATAATTCATATTTGATTCATTTGTTAGACAAACAAACCAAACACAAATATTGTTAGTTGGAGCCCGATAGAAGACTCCCGCTCCCGTTTCGCTAGCTCCCGCCTCCCGATCGCGAACAGTCGCAACCCCGCTTGGTGTCGATTCGCGAACAACGCCAACTGTTCCTCTGTCGCGAAACATCGCGAACTGTTCCCGCCTTCCCTGTTTCCGCAAAGTGAGGCACCTCTTTACTTATTATAAGTTGTGAACAGAACAACAAGGTCGGAAGGTCTCTCCGATTTGCGGTTCTTCCTCTGGTGGCTTACGAATGAGAGAAGGAGAGATAGATAAAGGGATAGAGAAAGAAAGTAATGCGAGGTATAGCAAGGCTCTCCTTTAGATTTCACGACCTCTTCTGGTGTTCTTCTTCGGGCTCCCTCGAGATAGAGTAAGAGAAGTGCAAGGAGTGGTTCCTTGGAGTAGAAGGAAAAAGAAAGAAGAAAAAAAAGATTCTTCTTCATTGGCTTCCTCTTGGTGGCTTGTGGCAGAAGAAAAGTTGAGTTTATTTCTCTTATAAGTTTATCTTCTTCAGTGAACTCGATGTACAGCTTTTTCGGTGTATCTCGGTGTAGAGAGAGAAGAATAGAGAGAGAAGAAGAGAGTAGAGAAGTGAGAGATTCCTCTTGTAAGTCGAAACGATCGACTGATGTATATTCCTCAAGTAGTAAAATTCCTTATAACTCAGTGGACATAGGTAATTTAACGAACCACGTAAATTTGTGTGTTCCGATGTGTTACTATTTTCTGATGTGAATTTTCTTGTTCTATCAAGTCAAACGCTTGATAGGGCTCTCAAAAAAAGCTTCATGTTCGGCTAATTAGATAATTCATATTTGATTCGTTTGTTAGACAAGCAAGTCAAACACAAATATTGTTAGTTGGAGCCCGATAGAAGACTCCCGCTCCCGTTTCACTCGCTCCCGCATCCCGATCGCGAACAGTCGCGACCCCGCTTGGCTTCGATTCGCGAACAACGCCAACCGTTCCTCTGTCGCGAAACATCGCGAAATGTTCCCGCCTTCCCTGTTTCCGCAAAGTGAAGCACCTCTTTACTTATTATAAGTCGCGAACAAAACAACAAGGTCGGAAGGTCTCTCTAATTTGCGGTTGTCCCTTTGGTGGCTTACGAATGAGAGAAGGAGAGATAGATAAAGGGTTAGAGAAAGAAAGTAATGCAAGGTATCGCAAGGCTCTCCTTCAGATTTAGCACGACCTCTTCTGGTGCTCTTCTTCGGGCTTCCTCGAGATAGAGTAAGAGAAGTGCAAGGAGTGGTTCCTTGGGGTAGAAGAAAAAAGAAAGAAAGAAAGAAGAAAATTATTCTCCAATTGTGTTTATTTCTCTTGTAAGTTTATCTTCTTCAGTGAACTCGGTGTATAGCTTCTTCAGGGTATCTCGATGTAGAGAGAGAATAATAGAGAGAGAAGAAGATAGTAGAGAAGTGAGAGATTCCTCTTGTAAGTCGAAACGATCGACTGATGTATATTCCTCAAGTAGTAAAATTCCTTACAACTCAGTGGACATAGGTAATTTAACGAACCACGTAAATCTGTGTGTTCCGATGTGTTACTATTTTTCTGATGTGAATTTTCTCGTTCTATTTTTCACTTTCATCAAAAATCATTCTTCTATTTTAAATTTAATATATACCACAACAAACATTATCAAACTCGAGGGAATAGGATAAAACAAAATGCGCCTCACCGTCGCATTGGTGACAGGGAAAGCTAAGGAACGGTGCCAGATATTAGGCGGATTGGGGCTGCACTCAAGAAGACAAAAGCAATGGAATCTGGAAAATTCTATACAAAAAAGCAAAAGGTAGCAACACACAACAAGAGGTTGTAGCCCAAAACTATGCATGTGATGCTTCCTCTTGCTTCTATTAGAATTAATGGAAGCTTGCAGGTAAGAAACCGTATAGTGCTCTCACCTAAATAGTCATTACTTATTTAAATCATTATGAAAACAATTACTACAGAGAAACATGTTTGTACAATGTCAAATCATCACAACATGGATAATCATACAATGCAGTAGGAACATGCCTGATCTTAATTTCACTGTTGTTATATGTTTGTGCAATATGTTCCGTGTTGTGTTTATAATGCATATGAGATATTTATTGTTACTCGCTAACATCGAATTTCCCTGATGCAAAAGCTGAATGTCAATTGTTTGTGTTGATCACGGTTGACGCTAATTGTCTTTGCGATGCTCGTTTTTGTGCGGAGTCTTAATCATACGCAAATTCGATGATAATAGGTATTAACATTGAGTTTTTTCTTTATTACTGTTGTAATTTTCTAACAGTAATTTGTGTATTTCCTGTAATGGAAGAAAAAAACCCAAGAGAAAAAAATAAAGACTTGAGGGATTTGAGTTATTCACCGGTTATAGAGATATGGTGGAGGGCCCTAACTTTAAGAAATTTATTGAATTCAAATAAATAAGTTAATATTTTTCTTGTACACCAATAAAGATTAGCATTATATTATTCTTTTTACAACTTCATCATTAAAGAGATAACATATTCGAAAAACTAAATATGCATACTCGAAAGTACTCAGATCGGATTTAAAATGAGAGATCAAACAACTCGACTAGATAAATTTGACCAATTAACTCGATCAGAGAGTTACATCTTATAGCTCGTCTATGGCGATCAATGCACAAATGATCGACCAGACTAAGACAGCTTGACAACTCGACAAAGAAGCTTAAGTTGCTCTATGGCGGAGTTCGATGAAACTGCCTTAAATTAATTCACCTCATGGCCAAGTTGTTTAGTAGGATCATTATCATAGTAGAAGAAAAATGAAATGATAAATTGTAAGGAATACTTATTTGTAATGTATAAGCTAACCACTCTATAAATAGAAGTGATCCTTATAATGTAATGGATGGATACCTTCTCTTTGTTCTCCAGGCTTGCAACTGCACATTATTCTTGCCTTATTTTTTGATGGTATGATCCTACACATAAATTAGAATCCAATAATGTTGATGTATTTTATTATGTTGATGGTGTGATTCTTGCTTATTTTGCCTATATATTTGAATTTTTTTTTCTATAAAATATAAAAATATGATAATGCAAATTATAATTCTTAAGAAAAATTAGTGCACATTGATAGAAGACCCGGGAGGCCTATTTATTTTAATGGATGGAACTGTCCAAGCTAAAGCAAGTAAGACCAAAGTCGATCGAGACATGAAGATGATAAGATGACTTGAATCTGAGTCGTTCAGGTAGATTTGAGATAAAAAAAAAAACATCCAAACAAACAGACATAAAGAAGCAGGCTCGAGGGAAGTTCTAGTCCCTCAACAACCAGGGTGTCTAGAAGCTCCCCCATATATTAATAAAGGTAGATTGACTAAACCAATCATGTTGATCCAAAGTTAATCGAGCTCAATGGACTGACAAAACCAAATAAACCCAACTGATCAAATCGGCCCTACCGAGCCGAAGCCATACAAGCTCAGTGAAACGAGCTAGATAGAAACCGAGTGATAGGCCTATATTTGTAAAATACCTAGAATACTCTGTACAACCCCTATTAAAGTAGAAGAAAAAAATGTAACATCAACATATTATACTCTCTCACATATAAATAGGGAGATCATTTCATGAATAAAACACATATCACTATTCATTGATGCTCATTCTTGTCTCTCTCTCTCTCTCCATATGCTCTATTCATTGGGGGTGTGATTCATGGACAAATCAATATTAGCAACACTTATTATCAAAAAAATTAAATTAATTCCAATAATATAAATAAATGAAAAAT